AAAACAGGAATGAAGTGGCAATAATCTATAGTGACCATAAATTATTCTGAATTGCCCAGCTTTATCCCTAAGTAAACAGAAATTACAGTCTTAGCTTCTGATGCAGTATTTGGAAGAGGGACTAAAGGAGTGACATGATTTTCTGCCACACACCGACTAGTCCTCCTCAAATTCAGTAGCTCAGTTTGTGGGATAAGCAGGAATATTACAATGGTGTTAGCATAGAAAGGATACTCTTTTCTGATCTACATGGCCTAGAACTGAGTATTAGATTGCCATCAATTACAACATACAGGTTGGAGTCCTAGCACAAATGTACCAATTTCTCCTCACTCCAATGGAGCAAACTAACCATTTTATTCAGAATAAATACCTGAGCTCGAAGAGACTTATTTTGTCCTAAACAGATAAAGCCAAAGCTGACAGACATCCTATGGCACAATATAAGACTTGTTACTTAAAGGTTCTCTACACTGTAGCACTATCCCCTAACAGAGCTCAGTGTCTGATATGGGTATGCTCTGTGACCCCACCCAGATCTCATCGTGAATTCTACTCCCATAATTTGCATGTGCTGTGGGAGGGACCTATTGGGAGATCATTTGAATCATGGGGGTAGCTCCCCCCATAATGTTCTCGTGGTAGTGAATAAGTCTCACGAGATCTGATGGTTTTATTAGGTGTTTCTGCTTCTGCATCTTCCTCATTTTCTCTTGCCACCCCACATAAGAAGTGCCTTTTACCTCCCACTATGATTCTGAGGCCTCTCCAGCCAAGTGGAGCTGTAAGTCCAATTAAACCTCTTTTTCTTCCCAGTCTTGGGTATGTCTTTATCAACAGCATGAAAACAAACTAATACTACGCCACTGGCCTCTAAGCAAAAGACAAGTGTCCGCAATTCTGGGAACTTTCAGAGACAGGCAGTATTGGTATTCAGTAATATATGCCTCTCCTTTTCCCCAGCATCTAAACTAATCTAAGAAGTGTGATTAATAACAGGAGCAGGCATTTAGAAATCTGGATGTCAATTATCAGTATACAAACAGAGAGAGCTGTGACAGGTCCCAAAAGAAGCTCAGGTAATGATTTTATGAATGCTACCCAACTAGGTAGAGTCTACACTCAAATGCAGATAACAACCTGTCTCATTTCTACATCATTCCCATTTACAGTTGCAAAAACTGAGACCAGATGTAGTTAAGCAACTTCTCCAAACTGTTACACATTCCTGTGTCACCACCTCCCTTTACTATCAGACTATTTATCAATACTCAAAGACAATCAGTCACAATACCTATTACATTCTGTTAGAACTGTGAATCTGTTACTAAGTTATAACCTATTCATGCGCAACACATTTTTGTTAAAAAAAAATGAAAAGGTATTTCTCACTAGCCTACACACTTCTCAGCTCTCTGCATTAGTATTTTCATTCATTAGTTCAACAAATGTATATTAAGCATTAAATATCTACTATGTAGCAGGCACACTGCTCGCAACCTGGGACACAAGAAGTTAAATGTCAATTAGATTCTCATGGAATGTATGCACAGGAGATGGACTAGTTCTGGGAGGAAATGTAAACTGCTATGGGGTAGATGGGTGAATGATGAAATCTAGTCTTAAGAGTCCAGTAGCGATTACTGGAGTTGAAAAATGATAGATGGGGAATTTGCAAGCTTGGGGGAGGGGCAAAGGGAAGGGTAAAAAACGAGAGTACAGTACGGATAAAGGTCTCAAGTAGGGTGAAAAAAGTGGGAATTCTATGGTTGGTCAGTGTTCTATGTTCTAGGCCACAGATGACAGGGCAAAGAAATGAGCTTCTTCAATAGGAGTAATTCCGAATTCAATAAACAGAAAACAGTAAACTTTAAAATGGGGAATAACTGTCTTTCTAGTTCCTCATGAGGCTCTCAGCTGTGAAAAAATAATCTGGTACAGTGATTCTCTAGTCTGACTTCATATCAGAATCTTCTGAGCATTAAACAAGTCTGATGCCCATGGTTGATCCCAGAACAAATTACTTAAAATCTCTGAATATATGGCCTAAGCACAGGTCTTATGAAAATGTTCTCCAGGTCCTCAACTCCAGTCAAAACTGACGACTGCAGCAACTAAAAGGCTAGGCAGTGCTACACTAGCTGTTTCCTCAGTGCCTTTCTGCAATGACCCTAAAACTTCCCATTGGCTGACTCTGTGACATTCAAATCTTAGCCTAAACATTCGTCCTCAGAGAGGACCCTAAGTAGCCACACTCAGTTAATTAATGTCTACACAGCACTCATCCCTGACATCTGTCTTCCTGATTACTGTTAGCTTCTCCACTAGAATGGAAGTTCCAAGAGACCAGGGATCTTGCCTGTATTGTTCACGGCTGTTATTTCCAGTAGGATCTGAATAAGTATTTCCTGGATGAAGGAAGAAAGCAAACCAGAAGGCAAGCAGGCATGGGGGTACCTCTCATATAAATGGATTTAAACAAATAATATTTTGAAGCTATAATTCTTATGGATTTTGACTGGATAATAATTAAGGTAGACTGAAAAGCACATACGGCATTTTTTAAATCTTTTTTTTTTTTTTTTTTTTTTTTGAGACGGAGTCTCGCTCTGTCGACCAGGCTGGAGTGCAGTGGCCGGATCTCAGCTCACAGCAAGCTCCGCCTCCCGGGTTCACGCCATTCTCCCGCCTCAGCCTCCCGAGTAACTGGGACTACAGGCGCCCGCCACTTCGCCCGGCTAGTTTTTTGTATTTTTAGTAGAGACAGAGTTTCGCCATGTTGGCCAGGCTGGTCTCCCAAAGTGGCTGGGATTACAGGCTTGAGCCACCGCGCCCGGCCTTAAATCTTTAACTTAAAACTATACACAGGCTGGCCTGAATTTCCAAGCAGAGCTCTACCTAGGAAGGAGACTAAAGAATCTAAAATATTTAGTCTGAACTACAGTCAACAAAGGTGTGAGCAAAACGTCTTCATGAAGAGGAAAAGGATGATGAAACTATATTCAGCATTTCCACAAACAAAAAGAAAAAAGAAAAAAAGACCTAGGTTAAAATATAGGGCCAATTAGAATTTAGCTTAGGCATAATTAAAAACTTTCAAGAGAAATGCTGTGAGACTAGAACGGTCATCAAAGACGAGACATAAAAGTGAAATCTGTGCCAGTCCCTAAGTCTAGTATGAAAATACTTCATTTGAATGGGTCATGTACTACGTAAAGGAAGATTAATATAAGGACAGCCAGAGTTTTCTTTCAGTCTTATAAATGCATTAAAATATCTTGAGTACTAGAGTTTTCTGCTCTGAACTAATTTAGATCTAGTACCAGATGAAAATGAGCCAGAAGGATAAAACACTAGTAAAAACATAAGCAAATCATTATTTTTAGGCAAAACGGAAATATGCTCATACTTTCCCTTCTGTACAGAACATATGTTAAGGCCCATCAAGTGAATTAGTAATTCAGGCATAAAAGAAGTTTTTGAGGATAACCAAATTCAGGGGTTATCTCCCTACAATGTACACTTAAATATAAGCTCAAAAGAAAACCTCCAAATGCCAGGACACCTTGATCAGCTTACCTGGACTGCCAATGTAAAACCAGCAAGGCCCTGCATTTTCACCTGTCTCTCAAAGCCAGTCCTACTTTCAGAATCCATAATTTCTGATAATGGAACCATCTCCCCACTCAGTACTTAATCTCAAAGATTTAGAATGATAATCATCCCCAAATTTAGTTAATCACCAAGTCCTGTGAATTATTCCTTTGTAAGAAAGAAAAAAGGTAGGTGGGGGGAGGGAATATTTATTGATTTAAAGAGATTTAAAAGACACATCACAAATATAATATATGAACCTTACTCAGTCCTAAGTCAAACAAATTGACTGTAAAAAAGATTATGAGACAATAAAGTAAACAGGAAATATGAATACTGATCAGGTGATATTTGGAAACGCTGTTAATACTTTCTAGGTATATGATGAGATCGTGATTACATTTTCAAAATGCCCTTATCTTTTAGAAATACAGACTACAATATTGGCAGATTGATACTTTTGATTTGCTCCAAAATAATTCAAGAGAGGGTGGAGGTGGGAATGGAGTGAAGGAACAGATGAAACAAATGCATGAAAATTACTAAAGCTGGGTAATGGGTACACAGGGGTTTAATTATGCTTTTTTATTTAATTTGGCTTGTTTTAAAACCCCCATTAAGTCATATTTCTATGTGTGGACATATGTACATTTTCTGATTTACGCTGCTCTGCTCTGCAACTGTTGATGACTCCCAGGTGCCTAAGTACCTTAGCCCGGCCTTCAGGGTCCTGCACAGTCCTTCAGTTACCCTTTCCTCTACAAATACATCATCAGCACTTGCCCTTCTGAATCCTTTCTTTTACTGCTTCTTCTCCTTGAAATGTGCTTCTCCATCCTACCTACTCTTTTCTTGAGCTACTCCTTCCTTTCCTCTTCCACATCTTGTGTAGTAAAAAACCATGTCCTCCTAGGCCACTGACCAGACCACTGTATGCCCTGGTTTTAAGTAAAATGCCCCTAATCTTCCCCTAGCTCACAAGTTTTAAGTAGAAGATCCATGCATCTTCAGAGTTGAAAGCCTCACTCTAAGTAAAGCAGACGTGTTTAGTTACTGCAGTCGCGGTGGGTCTGCTCCTCTGCATGGGTCTTCACTCTGCAGTTTTTACAGTGGGCCACTCATATTTTGGAGACATCAAAGAGTTTCATTAACGAGAGTCATAAAACGTTTTTTAAAAGGGAAATTCTGAAATATACTTAAATCTCACAATAATGCGATGGATTACAAGAGCAGGAGAGGCAATGGTTCTCATTACAGAAAGCTTAATTTCTGAGGCAGCAAGAGATTTCCTTATTAACCCATTCGTCCTTCCTTCAAAGCTTCAAATCCAGTGCCCTGAGATAAAAATTTTATTAGAGATTCATTTTTCTATAATAAAAACACACATATGTGAAAATCAACTTTACCTTATATTTCATCTTGGGACACGAATGAATGTAGAAACCCATATAATAATAGCTGAGTTGAGAAGTTTTCTCATGAAGCTGCCTAGTAAAAGCAATTTCTCTGCCAAAAGAAAAAGAAGAAAGCTGAAGGCAGTTAATTCTGGTTCCGATGTTCAAATATGTAATTTGATGGTAAACATTTGATAAAATCTGATATTAAGCTATCAAAAAATTACAAATATTTAAAGAAAAACTTTTAAAACATACACTATACAGTAATTTTTACTAAAGAAATAATAAACCCCTCTACATAATTTTAGGCAAATGCATCTAAGTTCAGGTTTTACACTTTATTGGACAAAGTACCTGATCTAAAATTCAAATAGCATAAAATTAAAGAGACCTACAGTGATCTGTTATTGTTCATCATGCCCTACGGCTCTCAAAGAATCTGGGCTTAACAGGTTAAAAACAGTAGAGCAAATTTTAGAAAACGCAGAAGCCAATAAATTTCAGGAAGAATAACTATTATTATGACCATTTACATGCAAACACTTTCAGCTGCATATGACACCTAACTCATTCCTTTATCTAGGTACAACTTTAATATTTATTTCCCCTAAAACTAGAGAGCAGGAAATACCATGTTATCTCACCACATTTTCTGTATTTGCTGGAATAAGCCAAGTAACTCGAACATAAGAAGTTGTCAGTCTCTCCACTGTAACACCTATGCATGAAGTGGTTTTCATGTGTATCTTGATAAATCTTGGCACAGAATTTCATTCTACTTGCCCAGTTAAACGACTGGTTTGTAAGTGCTTAGTAAAACTTCAGTATATTTCTAAAGTATGAGGAAAGTAGTTTTGTTTTTATGTTTGTTTCTTAAGGTATTCTTTTCTTTATTAGTAGCAATTGATGCTTGACATTCTAAAGAAATGTATTTGTAATGCAATATTCTGTGCATTTTTCTACTTCAAATTTAAATCCTTGAAGAATTATTACCTTAAGAATTCATTTTTAAATTAAAAGTATTTCTAAATCCAACCAGACTAAACATTATTAGCCTATAACAGAATAAATCCTATTTCCAGAATTAATCCACTCTCAAGGTTCAAACTGAGGAAAGAATGCAATGACACGAGCAAGTGTAAGACCACCAATTCCGAGAAGGCCCACCCAGTCATGGTACCAATCCACTTGGTCCTGCCCACCTTAGTTCATTTCATCACGTCTCCCCAGATTTGTTCAGGCCCCAAACCTTGGAGTCATCCTTAATCCTTTTCTTCTCATCCCCGTGTCCAATCCATCAGCAGGTCTTTTGGGCTTTCTCTCTAAAATATGTCTTGAATCTGACCACTTCTTACCACCTCCGCCTCAGATATTCTGGTTCAAGCAACATCATGGTGCCCTGGATGACTGCAGCAGCCTCCCAGCTGGCTCCTGTTTCCACTCTTGCCCCTCCATAATCTCCACAGAACAGGTCAAGTAATCTTTTACAATATTAATCAGATCTCCCAATCTCCCACCCCAGCAGTGGGTTGGCACCACATATAAATAAAACCCAACCTCCCCACCCTGTCCTACAAGCGCCACTCCAGCTGAATCCTTCTCACCAACTCCACCTGCCTCTCTGCCCCTTGCATAAGGCTCTCTACGACCTTCCCTACACCCGAGCCCAAAAGACTTTTTTGTTTTGCCTGGCCACCTTGGGGCACTTAGATTTGCTACCCTTCACCTGAGCTTCTTCCTATCCTCAGATTTTTACATGACTGGTTCCTTTTCTTCTTCCTTTGCCCCTGAAATGTCACCTGTTCTCTATGAGGAAAGACTAATCTATATAAAACAGGCTTCATGCCCACCACCGCTAATTTTATTTTTGTCACAGTGCTAGGGAGTATCTGAAATTAAGTTGTCTGTTTTATTATTTATGGTCTGTTTGGACAAACTAGAAACCTGTCTTATTCATGTCTATGAGTGTAATTACATTTTTAAAATGTATCTTTCTAAAAACACAAAAACAGATGCCATGCTCATGATCCCCAATTCAAACAATTCTTGTATCTACAGGCTATGGATAAGCAGAGGCTGATTACAAAAATAAATTAAATAAATAAAAAAATAAAAATCTACAGGCTACATTACATGAATCTATAAACATAAAACTATATTGATTGTTCGATTGCTTAAGAAACTTAAGAAATTGAGGGGAACAGATTTCACCAAAATACATTAAAATCAATAATGGGATTAGCAACTGATAACCTACTTTCTCCAATTTTGCTTCAAGAGGTCAATCCCCCAGCTGCCTTCCCTTTTCTATAAACTCTGCAACTCATATTCTCGAGAGCACCAAAAGGAAGTGACAAGACTGCAGAGCAGCCGCAGCCATCCAGCCCTCAACTGGCAAACCTTTCATGACCTCAGGCTCCTCTCCTGCTCCCTCCCGGCTCTCCAGCTCTAGTATTTGCAGGGATATACTAGGCAGTCAATAGAACTCTTGGTAATTTTGCTGGGAATTAATTATTTACCATCTCAATATCTAAACCATCTCTCAGTTTATTGAGCCACGAAATATTTCAGAAATAGGCCAGCGCTTATTATGTAGAAATAAATCTCACCCTTAAAAATTCATCTGAGAAGCCTAGAAAAATCTATAACACATTGTAAAGTGATAATACAAAAATAAAACCAAACAAAACAAAAAACCAGCAATTATTTGAAAGTACTGACTGATTTGGGTATAAAGAAAATATATCTTTTCTGAAATAAAACCTCTGAAGTTATATAATAATTGTAAAATCTATAGTTATAAAACACGAATATTTTAAATTATCAATTTCAATTTCAGTGAGAGCACCAACAGCCATAAATATGTTTAAACTACTTTATACAAAAATGTGATTAAATACATAAGAATAAAAGCCTGTTACAGAGATCCATTGTAAATATTATGTAATTGTGGATTTGTTAAAAATTGGCATTAAGAAAAAAGTCAAGTTGAAAATGCTAAGATGAAGAACTTTATATTGTGGGCCACTGAAACAGACACAAAAAAATCACTTATGGACCAGATTTTTAAAAACATTAAATTGCTGATTTAATGAAAAATTTCAACTCTTTTATAATTCATAAAAAAGTACATACACAAAAAATAATCTGGCAGTACATTTTACTATGACGTGAAAAATGTGACCATCAGACATGAAGACTGAGAGATGAGAAAAGTATGACACAACAGTAAAAAGTGAGAAAGAGAGAGACTCAAGCTCCCAGATAAACAAAAGAAAAATAGTTCCCAACCCTCCTTCCCTCCTCCACCACATATACACATAGACAAACAGAAATAAATAGAGAAAACTGGAGGAAGACTCCAGTCTTCTCATCATTAAAAATGTTTTGTGCTGTATATACATGTTTGCAGCCATGGACACAAAAGGGAAATTATCTTTTGATGAGGGTCATAAATTCAACCAGTCAGCCAGGGATTCCCCAGGCCTGTTCTGTATACATGTATATTTCTTCCAGTAGACTCATATTACTTTGATTCATTTACACCATATTAACTTAACTTTTAATTAACAGTAAAAAAATATAAAGCTAAATGCAGTAGTACAAGCCTGTAATTCCAGGTACCTGAAAGGCTGAGGAAGGAGGATCATTTGAGCCCAGGAGTTCGAGAGCAACCCAGGCAACAAAGCAAGACCCCATCTCATTTGAAAAGGAAAAAGGAAGTAGAAGATAGTGATGACAAGAATATAAGTCATATAACATTTAAGGAATATAAGTAGTTCCGACAGGGGGGCTTAAATAAATGTATAAACAACAAAAGCTACCCACAAACACAATGACTTCTTAACTAGATGGATACCTTAAAAAGCTAGAGAATTACCATCAGACACTGGCATCAGTTCTAAAGGTAGTATCTTCCAAATACAATACAAAACTACCAGAGATTATAGATACTAGTTATACATAATATTTACTTATATATTACATAATTATATACTTATAGTTATATAATATGTATATTTCCTATAAATACAACTAAATGACATTTATTTTAAAATTCAGTGTGATTTTAAATGTTGTTCTTAAATGAAAATTACAAATTATATATAACTATATATTATATAGTAGTATTTAACTCTTATATAGAATGCCTATTACATAGTAGTATGTATTCTATATAAGAGACTAGCAACAAATCATTATAATACATTGTCAAATAGGACTTCTACTGTTACATAATTAAATATAATCAAATGAGTAATTATTTGAAGTTCTATATAACCCACTACAATAACGGCAAAAACCAATCTTACCGTAGTGCAGAGTAGACACCCAAAGACAAAAACGAATAATCAGGATCGTAGTACAAATACACAGATGACACACAGTTTGGGAGGATGTCAATCACTCCCACAGCAATGATCTTTCCATCAAGCCAGTACTGCTGGTGAAAGGAGCCATAGCCACAATCTGGCCCATTAGGGGGAGTCTCTGCCTAAGAAAAAGCAGAGGCATAAACGCAAACAGTTTGCCATTTTTAAAATATCAAAATAATCTTATAATTAATATATAATATACTTTCATTTTCCTCAGGTTAATAAGTCCTAAACTTTCCTCTGTTTCCTTCATCATCCCTAGTCACACCCTATATTAAGATGCAAAACTTTTATCATAGAAATACTGAGGAAATACAAAATTCAAAAAGAGAAACCAATTTATGTTTTCTTCAATTTACTTGTTTTAATACTTGACAGTAGGAAATAAACTACGTTCTTTCATTTCTATACTACTCAGCCATAAAAAGGAACAAAATAATGGCATTCGCAGCAACCTGGATAGAGTTGACGACCATTATTCTAAGTGAAGTAACCCAGGAATGGACCACCAAACATTGTATGTTCTCACTTACAAGAGGGAGCTAACTTATGAGGACACAAAAATGTAAGAACGACACAATGGACTTTGGGGACTTAAGAGGGAAGGGCAGGAGGGGGGTGAGGGACAAAAGACTACATATTGGGTACAGGGTATACTGCTTGGGTGATGGGTGCACTCAAGTCTCAGAAATCACCACTAAAGAACTTATCCAAACACCACCTGTTCCCCAGAAACCTACTGAAATAAAATAAAAACATAAAAACTATGTTCTTCTATTTCATACAAAAGTTAGGAAAGAAATGCATGAGAGGGGGCGGAGCAAGATGGCCGAATAGGAACAGCTCCAGTCTCCAACTCCCAGCGCGAGCGACACAAAAGACCGGTGATTTCTGCATTTTCAACTGAGGATACATATGTAATCAAACCTGCCACGTTATGGCACAGGTACCCTCAACTTAAAAGTATAATAATAATAAATTAAATTTTA